GATGGAATGAAAAGGTACCGCTTGGTGAGATGAGAGAGACGGAGAGAAAGAGTGAAAGAAAAGAGAGAAAAAAGAAAATAAAATTTTAAGGTTTTTTAGGTTAAGGGTAAAAAAGTAATTTTATAAATGAAATAATAAAAATATATATAATAGAAAAGCTTGATTAGGCTCACGAGCTATTTAAGTCGAGTATTAATATGCTCAAATTCGACTCGTTCAATAAGTCAAGCTACTCGAGCTCAGCTCGATAATTATCGAATTGAATTCGAGTTTTAATTGAGTCAAATCTGAGTAGCTTGTGAGTATTAATGTATCATTTTCACCTCTATGTTATGCAATCGATGTGAACCTGAGGTTGATGTGAAGATTTGAGCACCATTCCCTAAATCTTATATTATTAAATTGTTTACCATTATCCATTATTATAGACTGAGATAATTCGAATCTATAGACTATGTTTTTCTATACAAACTTTTCAACTTGTGCTTTCACGGTGGTGGTTAAGGCTTCGGCTTTCAATCATTTCGTGAAGTAATCTACTACCACTAAGATAAATATTCGCTGATCTATGGTTGGGGTGAGTGATCCAAGGACGTCAATCTCCCACTGCATGGATGACCATGGGCTAATGATAAGAGTAAGCTCGATTGAAGGGAGATGTTACACATAGGTAAATCTCTGACACTTGTCACATCTCTTCATCAGTTTAGTCATATCCCTTTTGATGGTGGGCCAACAATAGCTCTGCCTCAATACTTTATAAGCCAAAGGCTGAGGTCTGAGGTGATTTCCATATATTCATTCATGTATTTCTCTCAGGACGTATTCTCCTCTTATTCATCAACACATCTTATGTATGGTAGACTAAAGAATCTTTTTTATAATTTTTCTTCAATCATTATGTATTAGATTAACTTTCTCATCAATGTTTTAGCTCAGACTTCATTGGGTAGTACTTTTGTGGTCAGGTATGCTTTAATTGATGTAATCTAGGTTTATTTCTCTATGACTTATCCCACGAGCTTATCCTCGGTGCTTTTATACACTAGCTAGAACTTCGTCTGGACTTCTCATTGCTATTTTCGAAGCCAATTTAAACAAAGAGTTCGTTATGGAATTTTTTAACCTTGGCCTAGGGCTAGTGCTTTGTCAAGATATTTTTGAATTCCATCTTCTTGAGCTCTAAACTTTCTATTTACCTAATTGACCACCAATTGGGAGGCACTATAAACTGTTATCTGTTGAATATTCAACTTAGCTGCCAACCTTAGGCCTACTATCAATGTCTCATATTCTACTTCATTGTTGGATACCCTGAACTTGAATCCCAAGGCGTATGGGTATTGTAACCCTTTTTCGGACTGATCAGAATGATCATGATTAATGCTATTTGTTTTCTTTTGTATTTTAAAATTTTACGTGAGTACTGGTTAAAATAACACCATTGATTCAAGGAAAAATAGAGTGTTAGAGGCATATAATGGTTAAAAAGGCATAGTGGTATTTTTTCTCCCTCAATCTTTCGCAAACAATTAGGGCTATTTTTGTCATTTTGTGTCGACCTGACTAGTCAGATCGGTCTGACATCTCAAGTGCCACCTTAGCTCGGTCTTATCCTAATTGTTCCCTTTTTATCTCCCTCAACTTATCTATAAATATGGAGACTCAGGCACTATAAAGTAAGTTCATCTAATTCATATCTTTCTCTCATTTTTACTTTCTCACTTCTTTTTCGATCTAGTTCTTACTGACTAGCGCGTCAAAGTGCAAATGTAGACAACACCCCATGCCTTTGTCTCTAACCGTCTTTTTTTTTTTTGCATTTACAAGAATACCTTCAGGTCAGAGCTCAACACCAACACTAAGGAAAAGAAGTCAGAACCATGAAAAAATTTAACTAGATACTCAATTTAAAATCTAATGTTTTGAGTGTTTTTTCAATTAAAATTATTATTTTTAATTTGATTTAATTTAAAATTAAATGTTTTTAAATTAATTCAAATCAAGACATTGTAATGAAAGGTGGTGCAATTTGGCGTTAAGTTTAATATTAATAGTTAAGTCTTTTTTTATAATAAAAATTTTTATTCCTTCACAATTTAAAGAAAATTATACCTAAATATTTAAAAAACTTACCTTAAAACCAAATCTTTAAGTATCAATTTTTCAAGCATTTCGTTAAAATTAGTATACTTTTACTGTTGTCTTTGCTTTTAAGCTCATGGTTTTCATGACATCTCGATTATATTAAGAGAACAAAGACAAGCAAAGTAAAAGTTTTGGTACGAAAGTTTTTGGATAATCAACAACCAAGGGAAAAGATTAGGAGGAAGAATTCAATAGTTACAAAACCTAATAAATCCAAACAATCAAGCAACCAAATAATAATTTTACTAAATCTAGAGAAAACAAAATGAGTCACAAATACAAAATCATGCAACTATAAGTAAAATCAATAATTACTCATAAGCAAGCAACACTAAAAGAATCCAAGCAAGATAAATACATAATACAGAAATACAATCATACCCAGAAGCATTCAAAACAAAAATAAAAAAAAAATCTGTCAAATGAGTTTTTGTTGAGGGTGTAAAGCTTAGTTATTTTTTTGAGTTTTACTTCCAGGTTTATGGCAAATAGGTGGAAGAGAAAATCATCTGTTATTTTTTATTTGTTTCAACCATAATAAATGGTGGAGATAATGGCAATAGTATTTAATTTTAGTTTAGAAGGGGTTTTAAGATTTATTTTTTTTTTTAGCCTATATATTCCTCATCAAATGGTGAGTTTTGGATATATATTTTTTGGTTTTATATTAGTAATTTAATTCAATAAAAAAAATGAATGAAGGTAATATGCCTTCTTAAGAAAAGAGTTACAAGTTCATATAGGAAGGAAAAGCAAATGAATAAAATCATATATAACTTAATAGATCCATAACTATGACATAAAGTAATACAAATAAAATAATAAGATAACTTTAATAAAATAGTTTTAATAAAAAGAGGATATGATTCCTTTCCCTTTATCAAAGTATTTTTAATAAAGTTGACATGATTTTAACATAAAGTAGATATAACGTAAACTTGACACAAATTTTGATGTAAAGTTGATGTTAACAAAAGCTTATGTTTGATTTGTCACCACCAATCTTGTCTCATCATAGTAAAGGTTGCACACTGAACAAATTGAACAAAGTTACACACATAATTATATATATCTTGGACTAGAATAAAGAGATTCTTTCACTCTAACTATTATTTAAAGAGGGAATGCTGAGAGCAATGCTCTCAAGAGAAGATGAGATGGAAGTTGTCTGCACTTTGAATAAAATCATAATCAAAGGTTTCTTAGAATTGATCTGGATCAAAATTATCATCTTAATCAAATGGATCTTAGGAGTTTTGCCAAACTGATTCCTTAATGACTTCAAAAGGTTTCCAATATAGGTTCTATTCAACTGGACAAGAATGATCAATTTCAAATCTTGTAACTTTAAGAAGAGGTTCTTGTCATGCACCATTAAATCTAAGCTCATAAATCTTTTTGTCAATTTTGAGTTGATAATTATATACTAAGAAATAATTGTCCCATAGAACATCATCTTGAAGTTCTGATCAAATATAAGGAGGAATTTTTTTGTTCATCTCACAAATTCTTCTTTAAAATTCTATCTACTTTTAAGGGCGATCAAACATAGAATTTGACAATAAATATTATATTGATCCGTCTTGCCTCTAATTGGGTTATTGTACTTAATGTGACCTAACTTCACAACTCACCGTTATAAAAAAAATCTTATTTTGAATACATCTGTATTCTAGAAAAAAAATTGCATTCGCAAGCTTTTAATCCTTAATTGGTCACAAGCTTTTAATCCTTAATTGAGACCAATTAAGGTGATAGTTTTAATCGAAAAACACTCAAACATTAAATTCCAAATTGAACAATTGGCCAAAAAAAAAATTTCAAAGCACTTATTAAATGTAAAGACAAAATAGTCCAACTCCGTTACCATTTAGTCATTTATTATCATTTAAAAACTTGGGTCAGTATTTCGTTTTTTGATGATTTCTTGCGCAAGGCCGATGAATAAAGCGGCCTAATTCAGTCTCTGGAAATCTGACCGTCCAAATCCATTGTCCGATAAGCGAGCTTAAACCTGGCCCGCTCAGCATAATCATCATTCAAACGAACCTCACTCAATGGATTTTGTTGTCAATTTGGATTTTTTTTTTACATAAAACTGTTAGAAATTAAACTCTGATAATTAAAATTTAAAGTTTATCAAACTTAACATTTATCAAGTAACAACACAGGCCACGCTGTTATTGATTTTAGAAATCCATTTTTAGTTTAATATAGCTTTTTTTTCTATTTTTTAACTAATTATAACCGTCATAACATGATAGCGTGCACCTACCAAGCATCACAATTTCTGTTATATTCCCTTTTTCTTCTTAACTTTCTAAGGAGGTAAATATTAATTGTTTGCATTACTTTTTTTTCCTTTAGTAATTTTCTTTCAATTAATCTATGAATTCCATTGGAATGTCTAAATTTGTGGCATGTCTTCAATGTTGAAGAAAAAAACAAAACCATGGAATTGTCTAAAAGAAATAATTAATGTGATAAGATGATAATAAACAGGGCAGATAGTACGATTCATCCTTTAGTTAAAATTGAAAAAATTACAATGTACATAAAACACATTCTCATATAATACTATCAATATCTGTAATTATCATGTATAATTACGGTGCAGAACGGGTCAAAGGATCTTGAATTTCTATGTTTGTCACAGCTTTTTTTTTATCGAACTAGTCATTTCATTGTTGTGACCTCTCGAAACGTTTAAATTTAGACTGATGTTGGGCATAATTAGCGGAACAAAGAAAAAGAATTTGGAAGCATTACTTGCTTTTTAGGACAAAAATGTCTTAAGCTAGAATGAAGAATTTGTGCCATCTCGTTGAACCTACAAATTTGAACATTAAATAAAGGAAAAGCTCAAATAAATATACGAAATGACATGCTCATACTAGTATTTTAATTGTTTACATGGTCTAATGAAAAAAAAAAGGAAAATTAAAATGGGGAAAAATGGTAAGAAGCTGTAATTTTATATGTCTAACAACAAGCCATCTTTGTTTGAGGAAGCGTTCCTACTGCTTGACAGACTCCATTGATCTGAGAATCCAACAGATGTTGAGACCCCATTTCCGCACTTGGCGACAGTCCTAACACTCTCGATCAATTCCTGGGTACGAGCTTCTTGTGACAAAATTTCCAACAGCAGTTCCGGGCTGATCACTAGCTTCACTTTCCAAAATCCAGGGTTGTTGTATCTGGAGAACACATCAGTATGAGACCTCTTCAGAGTTCCCTGATAATCACAGGACATCCTGTAAGGAGCAAAAAGTGAAGCCGGGTTGCTGTTCGACCTCACATGACCTTCTCGGACAATCTGGCCGCTATTACCAGAAGTATCTTTGCTGTTAAGTGGAAGTAGATAGTATGATTTTCCAGGAAGGAGTTCTTCATGGTGAAAAAGTGGCTTCCAAAAGAGATCATGGCTACGAAAAATAGCGTGCCCAGGGAATTCATCTGTGATGCTTCCTGCCGTTAGTGGAGCAGAAAACTCCATGACTCCACCGCTTGAAGTTATTACTTTGATCACTCCATCACCTTCTCCAAAGCCTCCAAACAGGCAGTTCCCCATCTTCTTGACATACAACAATCTAAAAAACCAAAGTAGTACGACTTCGTCTTTTGTCTTTGCTCCTCCTCCTTGTAACTGTAAAATGGAGGAGTATTAAAGGGAGGGAAAGTTCTGGAGGGAAAGACAATATATCGTCGGTGGGATTCTTCTTTAGAGCTTCCTCGATCAAACCGCTGATAATACAAATCCATAAAAGCATAAAGAAAAGAGGAAAGAAATGCGACCATTATCAGCATTCTTATTACTACTCCACATCAGATGTTTACTCGTGACTGGTCCAACTATTCATTCACTGAAAGCAAAGGTTTTTTCTTTTTTCTTTTTTTAGTATTTGGTATCATGGGCAAAATAAACCAGGCCCTCACCAGTCATTACATCACTAGCTGCTCCTAGGAAAAAAAAAAAGGAAGTGGCTGAGCTAATTCTTGGTTCCTTTGGGACCCATATAGCCGGAAAATCCCAAAGATCAAATGGGAAATGGCAAAGTTAATCATTTACGGGGAAGCAAAAAGCCATGGTCAATGAACAGAGCAGTCCCTTCAAGCTTCTTTATCACTTTCTTTTAACAAAGATTTCGTCCCATAACTTGACAGCTTTGGAAGCTAAAGGCTAAAGTAAAATGTGAAAGAGACAGAATCACATCCAATCTGTTGGGTTCATTATAACAGAATTCCCGGTACTTTCCCACTGCAAGAATATTAAAGTCTTGTCAGCGTGGATGGTTTATAAATGTAACTGATGCCTTTCAGTGCAAATTTAATCCGGAAGTGACAAAGAAGCTACAGAAGAGACAAAAGAATAATGGAAAATTTTAGGGAAGAAACAGAGGATAGTGGGAGACCACAGAATGCCTGAAAGAGCCGTTTGTCGCATTCTATGTCGAACTCCACTAGCTCTATATGATATGCTTTAGGGCATTGGCTACTTGCAATTTGGCGACAATCAGGTTTCTTAATGGTCAGCTAACTTTGATCGTTAAAAACATCAACTTAATATGAATTTTTCATTTTTTTTATAGTTCCTTTTGTTCATTGTCAAAAAGTGGTTGATAAAAAAGCTAGGCTCAAAGAAGAGTTGGAGACCAAATAAACCTTAAACCAATTAAAATGCTTCTGCCATTATCGAAGCTAATATAGCGTGAGCAATCCACAAAACGTTGGATCCCAATATTTCATATGGTAGGTATTGAGAACACTAAACCAATATAAATTAAACGCATTGCTGAATATTGCATAGGATCTAGTTATTTTATAAGACGGACAGACGAACACCAAAAAAAGTTGGGTGTCTCTCACTTTTTTTCTGCACGAGAACAGGCGGCTCTTAATGCTAAATCAGGGTTTAAAGTGAAAAGATATTTACAAACCCATATGCATTACTAAATAGTAATAATTTAATGGTATTACTCACAAATGAATATATATATATATATATACAAATATATTAGTTAATTTACTCAATAAGAGTATAAAAACCCATAAAACAAAAATAAATCAGGTAGTATGGAACTGTGGTGGATCATTAGATTGTATGTTCAACCCATTATTCAACTTTATATCACTGAATGATCAATTATCAGAAAAGCCTGGCCTAATCGAGAACAGAAATTATCAGGTGCTACTCACTTCCCTCGGGGATGGTTTCAAGCAGGGGTTGCCACCTTCTAACAAAATCAACACTAGACCGTCCTTCCCTATGGACTCCCGCAAGCATTTCTTCTACTGATATCCGCTTGGAAAGCAATTCTCGAAGCTCCTGCTTTGTTACAAGTAGTCTAATTTTCTTGATGCCACCATTCGTGGCGTCCTCTGGATATGCAGAACTGATAGCAGGGCCCATGTGTCTTTTATACTCTGGATTAGTACTCTCTCTATCTGTTTCCAGAGGACTTGAAAACTTTCCAGGCTTGATCATAGCTTTCTCAGAGCAAACTTCTTCCTGGGGATTATGGGAATGCAAGCAATTGCCCATGATTGGTTAAGAAATTCAAATGGAAAGGCATTACAAATAGAGTGATCAAAGCCGGTATATTGTTTGTACTGTTATGAGAAGTTTTAAGAGGACAAGTGAAGTGATTGCTTTATGTTTTGAATCAACGTATCGTAGATGAAAGGTGCCGGTTTGTTGTGCCTTTGTGTACGTTAGTTGCCAAATGGCCCTGCTTGAAGAACTCAAATCTTAAAAGAACTCCAAACGATAAACATGACAAAGGATAAGCCTAAAGCTCCGCCTAAACCCAAAATTCAAATAATCTACTATCAAACAGCATGATTCATCTGGATAAAGATAAAAACGTACTTGAGTTTTCTGTAAAGAGATAATTAAATTTGTTTTTAAAGATATCCCCATTCCCCATTGCTGAAAAATCTAGAAAAGTTGGGATTAAAAAATGTATTGACGTACTCATGCAGGCCAGGCTCTCATGCGTCAGAGCCTGATTACAACAACTCCGTGGAAAATAGTTTTCTGAACAAATCAGGGTGTTTTCTTGTTTTTGGTAGGAACAAATCGGGTGTTGAAGCAAGAGGCTTGCCTCGAATTCTTTTTCCACTAGTATTTTTGTTTTATCTTTCTCACATAAGTAATTGACTTGATCAAATTGCATGTGGTTGAAAGGAATTTTTATTGGGTATGTTTTAACTTGGAATAAGCAAGACCAGAAATTAAGAAACATATATACACATAAATTAGTAATTTTCATTACCAGATTAGTACTAGTTTTCATTATAATTTATTACTAGAATACATGTATAGCTGTACTTATTTTTCATTATAATTAATTAGAATAGATGTATAGCATTAAAGATTAGTACGCCTAATTTGTATTATAGAAAAAAATTAACTGTCCTTGCGTGGGCGTCGTTTTTGCAAAGGAACCCTACGAGGCTAGTCTCTATAGCATGCCCTTTTCCTCTCAACAAATTAGGGCTGATTCAGGTCCACCCTAAAGCTTGGGGTTGGGCCTCGCAAATCAAGTAAGATTTTCCTTTTCGGTAAAAAACCCGAAAACGTAGTCAGTTCCCTCTTATTCGGAGTATTTTGTAGCACCATAGCAATTGGAACAGAACTATCTTGTCGATGGTCGGACCATATTACATGATGGAGATGGAAAAATTTTATGGATCCAAATATCAGTAGTGTATCTTGACATCTAATTTTGAAAGAATCAATAAAATATATATATTTTTTTATTTTATTATTTAAATTTGAGAGTCGATATCAAATATAGTATGCGTTTAATTTCTATATTTACGTTTATGTATCAAGCACATATATTTCAAAGAAAAATGAACTTTTCGATCAATTAGCTTAATTTATTTAAAGTTTTATCAAACAAAAAGAATAACAAAAATATAAGAAGATAAATACCAACTAAAAAAAATCCATTTTTGGTACTTCGTTGAAAAGTTGAAACCTTGTTAAGAAAACTATAAATTTTTTTTTTTAAGTTTACATGAATGTGAGTTAATATTTATTATAAATCTATTATTTTTAAGAGTTAATGAATAATAGTTGTGATTATAATAAATAGATAAATAATAACGTGATTTTAATTTTTTATAAATTATAATATTTAAAATTAATTACAAACAAAAAATAAAATTGACAAATAACAATTTAACATGATAGTTAATTAAATTGAATTTAAATATATTTTATATATAATGTAATATATATTAAAAGGTTGGAGAGAAATAAAAACAATAACTTATGCAATTAAACTTCTACACTTACTCATAAAAAGGCATATCATGCTGTTATATTAAAGAATGAAAGATGCTAAGATCATTTTTTTTTTTTAATGAAGAATAAAGTATGAAGTCTTAAAAAGTTAAAAAAGTTGGAAACTTATCATCAATAGTTGTCAATTTTTTAAACGACCATGATTAGCCCCATTAATGTAAAAAGATTTTTAAAAGCAGCTCCTTATTTAACTGTCCTAGCATCGCCATTAAAGGATTTGCAAAATTTTGTAGGTTAAAGGTCCCCTCAGGCTCTAAAGGCGCTCCGCCTCTGCCAAAGATATTTATTTTCTTTACATTATTAGAGCTTTATATCATCAATAATAATGTAGAGGTCCCATGTTGTCACTGCTCCGGTACCGCAGGAACATCTCCGCCTCTGGATGGCAGCCCTCGCTTTTGACCAAAGTCTTAACATGACTTTCCTGACCATGCCATAGTTGAATTGAAGGTTCAAAGTTGAAACATGAAACAGACTAAGCTCTTAACATGACTTTCTTGATTGTGCGATAGTTGAATTGTGGGTTCAAAGTTGAAACATGAAACAGATTTGGAACTGTTTTTATATGTTACATCGTGTTATATGGATAATATGATATAAAAGTAATATTAAAATTTTTTTAAAATAATAAAATTTAAATTTTTAATTAAAATTAATTTATAAATTTAGTAAAAATTTTAAAAATATATTTCATATTTAATATATCATGTTAATTTTTCTTTGAACAAGAAGATCTAAATCCATTTGCTATCTTTAACGCAAAAAAATCAATGTTTAAGTTATTTAATTATACAACATAATGCTTTTCTTTTGAAGATTTTTAATATTATTATAAATTTTAATTTTCTTAATTCCATCGTTCAAATTCTATAAAAAAAAAAATTATGTATTGAAAACCACTTGATATTAACTTGTTAATAATAGGTAAGTTGTCATGATGTCAATAATGAGGGCTGCGATTAACCCATTATTTATAATTTCCTCGATCTTCAAATAAATTATTATTTTTCAACAAAGCAAGGAAATATATATATGTGTGTGTGTGTGTAATGAATAAGAGACCGACTTAAAGTAAAAAATCCAAACACGTGGAAAACGTCAGCGAAAAAGGGTAACAAAGCAGGAATTCAATTGTGATTGCGGAGACTACTCAGAATCACAGGGCAAAACAAAGATTGATGATTAATTGATTTGGAAATTGGAAAATTTTGTTCAGTTACAACAAAGAGAAAAGGAAATTGCAACACTTTGATTTAAAAAGTTTAAGCTTATCGTAGCACAAAGAAATGGTTTTGCTTGCGTATGGCTTTCGGCTTCGGCATCTGCATTAAGTTGTAGTTACGCAATGTCAACTCCGCCTGGAGAAATTAACTCATGCCAGGCTTGGGTTAGGGTCTATAGGCCAACTTGTAGGATTTGGCCCCCTCCTTGCAATCCTATCAATCTTTTTCCTTTTTTTTTTTTTGAAATTTTATTAATCTTTCCAATAATTTTATTGATATTTTTTGTCAATTTTTTCTAGTCTCAAATTGTGAACGATATTGATCGCAGACGAAGACGGTATCCAATGCTCTGTAGTCTATCCCGCTTTCGTCATGTTTGAAAATCGATATTGCACTTTTTTTCCCCTTTATCTTGAAAGGAACACCACTGGAATACTTTGGAACTTTAAAATTTTAACTAGGAACAAAAAGATGGATAAGCAAGTGACCCAAACCCAAAAAAGAAAAATTACACTTTTAATCTTTATGGTTTGTGTGTTTTTAAATTTCAATCTTTGTGAGAATCCAATTTTCCTTCATTTCCTTCGTGTCTTGGGTGTGTTTGGTTCGTGGTAAAATTTTTTTTTTTCGGGGTTGTGTTCCATTTTCTTGTTGCTAAACAAATTTCTTAAGTTGAAATTCAAATTTATTTTTTTTATATTGTTGATTGAAATTCACGTGTTCTTTTTATTCAAAATCTTGCTTCAAAACAGCGGTCGTCTCTGTCTACATACACTCGGTTAGGTCCACGTTATATTTTCATCCTCTAATCTGTTTATGGGTTTAACAAAAGTTAAATTGTACATTAGATTTTTGTTCTTTGGAATTAGTTTTTTTGTTTTAATGTATTCAAATTAGATTCTTATCTTTTAATTAATTATCAAATTTAATTAAATTATTAATAGTTCAAATTTTTTTATTAAAATTAATAACATGATATTTTAATTTATTTGACGTAATATTTTTATTTACATAACAATTGATTTTATTAACGTATCAAGTTCATGTGATCTAAGATAATGACATGATAAATTTTTTTGACACATTTACATTTTTTACGTTATTTTTTTTGAATTGTACAACTCATTTTTGTACTATAATTAGATGGTGGAATTAGTTATTTATCATAATGTGTGTTCAAATTATGTATATTAATTAATTATTAAATTTAAGATTTAATATAATATAACAAATAAAAACATAAACTATTAATTCAACTATGACATTTTTTTATATTTAAATAATTTTTTTAGATATTTGAATTATCAATCAAATTTATTTTGACAAATTAAATTAATTTCAAAATTAAATTATAAGCGCAATATAATCTAAATTATATCTTTTCTTTATTTTATTTATTTATTTTTGATCTTTTTCATATTTTTTGTTAATTTCTA